AAATTACCCAATCATGTAAAAACAAGTTTAAAGTTCTTTCCCCTCCCTCTGAAATTGTGCATAAAAACTGCTTGCCATACTGGATTGGGGCTCTTGTCCCTGAAGTCAGCTTCATACATGAGCCCAGACTCGAGCCTGAATAAAGACCCTCGTGTGTTTGCAGCGGAGCTGGCTCTTTGTGGTTTCTCAGAGTTAAAATCTCGGGTTTAACAAGGGATTTTCAGATTTTGAAGTGAATAGCTTTCCTTTGATTGGGAACACAGAATACTTATGTTTCCTGGACATTTTAACATTTCATGTAATTGCAAGAGCAATAGTGCTTATTATAGCTAAAAATTGATCACGTAGAAAAGAAAAACAATACCCCAAATCTTACCATCCAAAGATAAACCTTGTAATGGTTTCACCTACATTATATTCTTCCGCAGGTGTGTGCGTGTGTGTGTATATATATATGCCTGCATGTATTTATATATTTACATGCAAAGGATACTTCAACTTACATTTAGTTTTGCAACTTGCTTGTCTTACTGTAATGGGTTGAATTATGTCAGCCCCCAAATAATTTCCAATCCTGACCCCTACCATCCCTTATTTGGCAATAGGGTCTGTGCATATATAATTAAGCTAAAGATCTTAAGAAGTGACCATCCAGTGGCTTGTGTCTATATAAGAGACAGCAGAGGGAGATTTGGTACACAGAGGGAAGAAGGTCATGTGAAGATGGAGGCAGAGATTGGAATTATGCTGCCTTGAATGAAGGAAAGCAGCCACCAGCAGCTGGGAAGGATTCTTCCCTGAGTCATCCAAGGGAGTTGACCCTGCCTACATCTTGGTTTTGTTCTTCTGAACTGTGAGATAGTAACTTTCTGTAATTTGTTATGGCAGCCTTAGGAAACGAATACACTCACTAACATATCACAATGTCATTGTGAATAAACATTAGTCTATATTCTATTTTTTCATGGCTACAGTGATACTAATGGCAGCAAAATACACACACACACACACACACACACACACGTATACTTTGAGTTGTAGTCTCACTCTGTTGCCCAGGCTGGAGTGCAGTAGAATGCTGACGGTCACTGCAGCCTCAACCTACTGGGCTCAGGTGATCCTTCCACCTCAACCTTCCAAGTAGCTGGAACTACAAGCATGCACCACCATGCTCAGCTAATACTTTTATTTATTGTAGAAATGAGGTCTCACCAAGTTGCCTGGGTTGGTCTCGAACCCGGGGGCTCAGGCAATCCTCACCTCAGCCTTCCAAAGTGCTGGGATTATAGGCGTGAGCCACTGGGCCCAGCTAAAATATATTTTTAAAAGGACTAAAATTTCTTATATACCATATTTTCATATGTATTGAGTCATTCAGTGTCCATGGCTCCCTTACAAGTTAAAAATTGTGACTAATCCCCATTCCATAAATGAAAAACTGAGAGACAGAGAGGATAAGAACTCTGCCTGAGGTTGCACAGTTAGGGAGGGGACAGCTTGGATTTGTGTCCAGTACATAGTGCTCCAGATCCTGGGAAACTGTCACAGATTTGTGTTAGGTGAAATATGCAGTCATTAAAAACACTTGCTATGTTGATATATTTATACAAAAAGTGAACCAAGTGGCAAAAGGTGGATTATGGTCTTGGAGAGCACATTCATTACAATCATGGGACAGAAACCACAGTGCAGTGGGATAAGGAGTCCCTGGGATAAGTGAAGAATGTGAACAGGGAATGTAGAAAAGCCTTTTGGTACTTTGAATTTGAAAGGGAAAAGAAAGATCTAGAGATACAGACAGATATATTTATAGAGAGGAGGATCCTGTGGCTGAATGGAAATAAAGCTATCAAAGAGGGAATTTTTTAAATCTTCAATTTCATGAAACTTGACCAAGTTTTCAAGTTAATGTGAAGAAGCCATCTCATCTCATGCTCACATATTCATTTCTCTTCTTACATTCTTATTATTTACATATATAAATAATATGTATATGTAATATATTATCTACATATATAAACTATATATAAGTATAGTTATAATAAGTAATATACATTATATATTTATATATAATATTATTGATATTTATATTATAAGTAATATACATTATATATATTTATATATATATTACTTATAATATCTAAAACTGGTGTTTTCTGCACCTCTCATTGTTTATCCCCATGAGAACATGGACATCCATATGAAAAAAAGCAAATCTCTCTCTGATAGGCCTTCAGCTCAAAGTTTTAGAGACAGAAGGTTCTCTACATTCTTAGGTGTTTCATAATCTCATAAAAATTGTTCTGGCCGGGTTCGGTGGCTCAGCCTGTAATCCCAGCACTTTGAGAGGCTGAGGCAAGTGAATTGCCTGAGCCTACAGTTTCAAGACCAGCCCGGGCAACTTGGTGAGACCTTCTCTCTACAATGAATCAAAAATTAGCCAGGTGCGGTAGCATGTGTCTGTAGTTCTGGCTACTTGGAAGGCTGAGGCAGAAGTATCACCAGAGCCCAGCAGGTTGATGCTGGGGTGGCCATGAGAATGCCACTACACTCCAACCTGGGTGACTGAGTGAGACTCCAACCCCCTCCCCCCCAAAAAAAACATATCTGTCCTTCCATAGAGGCCAGGCCCATAAAGCGGTTAGGAGCTGGTGGATCCTGTTGATAAGTGGTGCCTTGTGGGCCATTTTTCTGTTGGGCTTTCTTATCAGCTATTCATTGAGGGCATTCACCTTTCCAGTGACCTTCTTGGTAACAATAGGCACATTGGTTTCTCCCTAACTTCATAGGGTGTTGTGATGTCCCTTAAGAAGGCTGATAAATGGAGTTCAGGGGTCCCTGGGCAGGCTGAGGTGGTCCGGGCCTCGCTCTGGGAAACTGTTGACCTGGTTATCTTCTTCCCCGATGCCTGCCTGTTTTCTCCCGGTGTGCCTGTTATCTGGTACCCCGCAATGGCAGCATCAAGCATGGTCATTTTCTTTTTCTCTTCGGTCTGCCTCTTGTTGGGTCTCCTTATTTCAGTTAATGAACACTTTAGTGGCAACTTCTAGCAGATGGCTAACATTCATTCCAGCAAAGCCCTCTAGTTTTTGTAGCTTATGTCAGATATCCCCTAGGGACTGTCTGACAAAAGCTGCATTTACCATATGCTGATTTTCCGTTGCCTCTGGATCAAAGGGGAATGTATAGCCAAAAGACTTCACAGAGTCTCTCATAGAATTGGCTTGGGTTCTTGTCAGCTCCCTGGAACACCTCAGAGACCTTGCTCATATTTATAGCCTTTTTCTCTCCTCCTCTCATGCCTCCTAGGAGGGCCTCCTAATACTGTTCAAGCAGTTGCAACTCCTGGTTATTGTTGGGGTCCCATTGGGGGTCCTCCTCTGGGAACTGATTTTGGGCATATGCCTGGGCATTGAGTGCTCCAGCTGGGGTGTGTTCCTCTAGCCATTTTATAGCCACCTGTGTAATTCTCTGACACACTTCAGTATTGAATAGCATCAGGAGGAGTTGGCGGCGGGTCCACCCAGGTTGGTCTCTGGGTCTGGATAATGGATTGTATTAAGTCTATCATAGCCTGAGGCTTTTCTGTGAAGGACAGTGTATGATTTTTCCAATTCAGGAGGTCTGTGGTGGTGAAAAGCTGGTACACAAATGTGCGTTGCCCACCTTGGATCTGGCCTTCTTGATCATAATAAATAGGCCCCCTAGTCTCCCTCAGTGGCAACTGGAAGGCACCATGGCATTCCCCTGGTATGAAGTCAGACATACATTCTGGCAGCTGCTTTCCAGGTGGGGTGTGGGGAGTCAGAACAGGTGGCTCAGGTCTGGCCTCTGATTGTTTAAGAGACGTACTAGGCTTAGGGGTGCATTCCAATTGCGAGCCTCTAACAGTGACTGATACCGTTGGAGCAGGTGGCAATGGTGGGTAGACTGGACAATAAGGTGGTGGGATTTCTGGTTTATCAGCCAACACCGGCTTGTCAGTCAACTCATCAGACTCTGATGGGTATTTGGGCTGGGTTGTTTTGCAATTGTCTTCCCAGCAAGCTTTTAGCCAAGATGGCCATGCAAGCACCTCATCCTGCCAACAGTTAATATAAGGGGATTGGTCTGGGTGATCTGGCTCTCCTACTATAATTCTATATACTTTCCTAATGGTTTTTCTATCTAAGGATCCCTCTGGCAGCCATCCAACTCTGAAAGAGGTCCAATCTATTTCACAGAACGTATGGAGTTTTTTCCAAGATAGTTTGGCACCATAACAATCTTCACAGAAACATTTGTCAAAGTTCTTAAGCATACAATCAAGGGGGGTATTCTTACTTTGGTTTCCACCCATTTCCTCCCCCTAACAGATGACAGACACACACAAATAAGGGAATGAGGGGTATGGGAAACAGTTTCTTCATCCTCCTCCAGCTGTACTCCTTGTGGAGATATTTCAGACACCTCTTAGCAATTGGCAGGTTAGTATAAACCCTCAAACCGGACCAACCGTATGACGGGGTTGGGGCTGCCTTCAGTTGTATGAGGTTGTCACTGGCTTATATTGGGACTCAAAATCACTTTGGTCCTTTGGTCAGGTCGAAACCCTTCTGCTGTCTGTCTCATTCCACTGCCTTTCAGTCCTTTCCTTCAGACTGGAGACTACCAGCGTTTTCCAGGAGGTGATCAAGCTCCCCTTCTGCCATCTACTGACAGGTCTATGCAAAGGCCCTTGTTCTTACCCTTTCCATCAGGAGTTGTTCCTCACACCAATTCCTGTACCTCTTTGGGTCCCTGTTGTGCTTTCGAGATCCAAACCTCAGTGCACCGGGAGGGACCTCCCTCCTACAGATGAAAAGGTCCACTGTGCACCAGGAGAGATTGCCTCTCCTGTCATCCTACAGGTTGTACCCCGATGACAAAAGAGGTGGAACACACTGTCTCTAAACTCTCCCTTTCCTGACCAATGCACCAAAAAATGTTGCGGAAAAACAGAGAGATCGTGACACTGAGACTATCTTAGGAAGTAGCATTTTATTAACATCAGTGCAACTCAGGGGGCTAATGCTCCAACGCTGAGCAACCTAAAGAAAGAGGAGAGGGGTTTTATGTGTTAGTTTAGGTAAGGGAGGGGGATTAGGTTGTATAGCTATATATTTTCTTTGGAATTTGCAAGGTGGTATTTAGCAAAACCAGATTTTCAAAGAACAAGTTGTCTCCAGGTTATACATGACAAGCAGGGGTTGTAAATTGAAAACTTTGCAAAGAGAGGATGCAGGGATAAGGTTGTGAATCAATTACTATCTTGCATTTCTAGGAAAGCAGCTTGTGGCTATTTAGTTTTCTCACGTCCAGTGTCTAGCAGGTTTGGAGCTTGCAGGTTGAATTTTTAAAAAGGAATTATTTTAACTGTTTTTAGCCCCTCTCTGCCACAGTTCAGTGCATGTTACCTTTTTCTTTCCTGCAGCTTACCTGTCCCAAGGCCAGCACCTGAGCTTCTGACTGAATTCACTCACCACTTCAGGGATCAGCCAACTCTTGTGGCCCTACACCCAGGTCTCCTGGCATAAAGGGTGGGGTTTCATCTCCTCTGGCATCTTCATCACCCAGAGGGGTTGTGAAATGGGGTCCCATGGGGCCACAATAGTAGGAGAGTGTGATGCGGCCACTTCTTAAGCCCAAATCCCTTCTCCTAAATTGGAAGTCCTCCAAAAAGGGTGAGGTATGGAACCTCATCTCAATCCTGCTACTTATCTAGGGAGGTGACTTAGGCTCTGTGAGCCTGAGCTTGGTCATCTGTGAGATGAGACTGACACTACCATTCTTACAGAGCTGTGTGAAGGGTAAATGAGAAAACCTGTCCAGAGACTATGGCACAAAGTGGTACTTCAATAGCCTTTAAATGTTGGAATACAGCATTGTACAAGATACAAAAGGTACAAAGCGCTGGTGAGCCTACCCTGCACTGGTGACTGCAGGAAAGGTCCAAAATGTTCTCATAAATATGCTAACATATTGAGCAGTCCAAGAGCAGCCATTAGAAAACCGTTAAACCTTGAATCTATGGTGCAATTTATTACAAAGCTCAACAAGTAAAGTTAAAAGTTACACCTGTCTTCCTAGCATTGGGAAATGGGTGTGGGTCTGCTCAGAGGCATAATGTTGAACAGGTTTTTTTTTTTTTTTTTTTTTTTTTTGAGTTGGAGTCTCACACTTTTGCCCAGGCTGGAGTGCAGGGGCATGCTCACGGCCACCCCAGCTTCAACCTGCTGGGCTCCGGCGATCCTTCCTCCTTAGCCTTCCAAGTTGCCAGAACTACAGGCGCATGCTACCGCACCCAGCTAATTTTTGATTCATTGTAGAGATGAGGTCTTGCCAAGTTGCCCGTGCTGGTCTCTAACCCATGGGCTCAGGCAGTCCACTTGCCTCGACCTCCCAAAGTGCTGGGATTACAGGCTGAGCCACCAAACCTGGCTGGGATATGCTTTTTTATATGAATGTCTGTTCTCATTAGGAGAAGCAATGAGAAATGATTTTTCACAATGACTGCTTACTTAGCCTTGAGGCTCAGCCAGCCCCTACTGCTGAGTCCCAATAATTAATGGGCCACTGATGTCCCACTCTATACCATTTACCCCTCAGGAAAGCTCGGTAAGGATGGCAGAGTCAGTCCTATCTCACAGATGACCAAGCTCAGGCTCACAGAGCCTAAGTCACCTCCCCAGATAGATGGCAGGATTGGAGTAAGGTTCCACACCCTGCCCTCCTTTGAGGACCCTGAGAAACATCCCTTTTATTAGATGGTCTTCCAGGGATTGAGACATGGTCAGATCACACTTCCCTGCTATTGTGGCCCCACAAGTCCCCACTCCACAGCCCCTATGGGCGCTGAAGATGACAGAGGAGTTGAAATCCTGACCTTTGGTGCCAGGAGACCAGGGTGTAGGGTCACAGGAGCTGACTGATCTCTGAAGTGCCCAGGCAGAAACTCAAGTGTTGGCCTTGGGGCAGGTGAGCTGCAGGAGAAGAAAGTAGTATGCCCTGAATACTGTAAGCAAATGCTTTTTTTTTTTTTTTTGAGTTGGAGTCTCATTCTGTAGCCCAGGCTGGAATTCTGCAGCACCGCTGCTCACGGCCACTGCAGCCTCAACCTGCTGGGCTCAGGCAATCCTTCCACTTCAGCATTCCAAGTAGCTGGAACTACAGGTATGTGCCACCACATCTAACTAGTATTTTGATTTATTGTAGAGATGAGATCTCACCATGTTGCCCAAGCTGGTCTCAAACCCATGGGGATCAGGCAATCCTCTCGCCTCTGCCTCCCAAAGTGCTGGATTACAGGCATGAGCCACCTGTCTGCCCAGCATATGCTCTTGATAGTTCATCTCCTTTAACCCTAACAGTCATTCAAGGTACCCATCACTATGACCATTATTCAAATCAGGGATTTGCCTTTAAGGGATATTACACAAACCAGGGAGAAGCTTTGTTATCTCCAGATCAGTAGTTCACTCTGGAATTAATCAGAAGGGGTTTTTTTGTGGGTTTGTTTTCCTGTTTATTTATCCTGAAGCCCATAGAGATGTAGAAATGTTTTTTCTTAATCTTTAGTCACATATTTGTTTAGTATTGATGGACATTTATAATGCGTCTTCTCCCCACCCCTTTTATTTCATACATGTGAAAATATTTCCTTCCATTGCATGCTTAAACATCTATTCTTTGGGGCTTGATTTCAATAGTTTAAACTCCCTTATAAGTGTTTGAATATTGTCATTTGTATACCTCCATATTGTCACAGCAGCTAGAGAAGGGCATGGTGGGAATTCAAGGGCTCCTGTGCATTCCTGAGCACATTACTGAGAGTCCCCTTGTCTTCTATGCTCTCCCAGTAAGTAGCTTCAGGGGATCCTTGACTTTCCAGCAGACTATGCCCAAAGATGTAAATCCCTATTGACTCCCTTTCTTATAACTATATAGCACCAATGTAATCCTAAATCTTGTGATTTGCATAACTTTTGCAATGCATGATAGTTTAGGCCTTGTAAACTTCCTTTACTCTAAATGTCACTATCTAAATGTAAAATGCAGCTGTAACTCAAGTTCTATACAATGCTCTGCTGGTCAGTGGCTAATGTATAGGGACTGACAACTCTGGACTATAAAAGTGAACTGTGAAGCCTGAAGGGTGAGCAGAACCATTTTAGAAAGACCTCGAGTCTGGCTCTGCTCCCTGAATTCAAACTCAGAAATAAACTTCTTTCTACCAGTTCCCTGCCCCTTTGATTTATTGGTATCAAAGGGAGCAGTCGAGCATTACTCAGACCATAACAATTTCTTTAACCATCTTTATACCTGTTGTCATTATAATATTTTAATGTATTTTTAATTGATAAGTGTTTCCATTATCTTGATTTGTTTTCTTTCTATCTAAACATACACATTCACACATACACAGAGAGCCAGTTTTCACATTTTTATTTTGGGAATTTTTTTTCATTTTTATTCAATTCTTTCTATATTTAAATTCTGTCAGATGATAGGTGATAAAAATTATGTTTGGATATTTTCATTTGCATTCCTTAAATTATTAGTGATCTAGAATGCACTTTCTTGTGACTATTGGCCATTTACATTTCTTCATCTGTGAACCATTTACATGTTGTCAACTTTGCTATTTTTTATAGGTACTCTATATGCATTAGATTGAATGCCCTTCACTGATCTAGGAATTCCTTATTTCAACAAATCTTTATTGGGTGAATATTATTTGCAAGATGCTCTGATACAGAAACCCTCTAGTGTCTGTCCATATTGTCACAGCCTCTAGAGAAGGGCATAGCAAGGGCACAAGCACTTCTGTGCATTCCTGAACAATATTCCTGAGAGCTAATAAAAGGTGCACTTCCCTTTTTCTCCTATGCACTATCGGTAAGTAGCTTCAGGGGATCCTTAACTTCCCTGTAGTCTACGCCCAATCAACTGAAAGATACAAATCTCCTTTTACTCCCTTTTTCTGAGTGGTTATAAGTTTGAATAATATAGTATCATTGTAATCATAAGCCTTGTGATTTATATAACTTTTGTATCAATGTAATCATAAGTTTTTTGATTTGTATAACTTTTGCGTAATGTATGATGTCTTAGGCCGTTTAGGGCAAGCTTGATTAATGCTGCTGCTGGGCCCTACTGATAAAAGCCATATCTGATACCTGGCACCAGGAAGTCTTAACCGAAAAATGTCACTATTGATAAATGGTGGCTGAAATTCAAGTTCTATACAATGCTCTGCTGGTCACGTAGCTAATGTATAGGTACTAACACATATGGACTATAAAGTGAACTGTAAAAACCTAGAGGGTGAGCAGAATCATTTTAGAAAGACCTCAAGTCTGGTTCTGCTCCCTGGATTCAAACTCAGAAATACACTTCTTTCTACCAGTTCCCTGCCCCTTTGATTTATTGGTATCAAGGGGAGCAGCTAAGCATTACTCGGATCATAACAGCTCCAGCAAAAAAAAAAAAAAAAAAAAATTATGTTCCAGGTCTCCCTTCTGAGATCTAGACTCTTATATCTACTGGAAATGTTCACCTGCTGCAAGAGAAGTACAGTGCCCATCCAAGTATGCATGACTTGTCAAGGATAACACACACAGACAGTTTCAAAACACTTATTCCTAAACCCCTCATGGCCACAAATAAAAAGGATGGGGGGGGAAGGCAGAAGCAATGCTGCAGCTGTGGGAGCTTTTCCTGCCCACAGTGTCTCTGACTCATTCTTAGGAAAATAAGAAGCTAGTTTTCCAATATGTGAAAAAGACCATCTTGTGCCCCACCCCAGCTCCTGCCAACACAAATGTCCAGCATACCAGGATGTATGTGATATAATCCATATAGTCATCTTGCCTACAACAACTACAGCTGGGAGGGAGCCCGGAGCCTGGGTACCAACAGCCAGTCAAGGCACCCTCAGGGTTTAGGATCCCAAAGCCACCAGATAAGCCACTGAAGGCCTACATGAAGTACAGCAGGAAGGTCTGGGACCAAGTAAAGGCTTTCAGCTCTGACCTAAAGTTGTGGGAGA